GCCCCCCTGGGGGCCCCCCTGGGGGGGCCCCTCTTCTATGTCGCCCTCGGAGGCCATTGGTGGGCCCTTTAGTTAAATGAGAAATAATAATAAATATAAATAAATATAAATATAAATAAATATAAATAAATATAAATAATAATAATAAATAAATCTGGTGATAAATAATTATTATTATATTAAGGTGCTGCTGCAGCCCCACAGAGCAGCAGCAGCTGAGGCAGCAGCAAAGCCAGTTCCAGTTCTGTCGGCTTTTGCTGCTTGCTATCTACTGCTGCTGCTGCTGCTGCTGTTTTTGCTGCTGCTGCTGCTGTTGTTGCTGCACTTGTCGTTGATGCTGCTGTTGCTGCTGCTGCTGTTGCTGCTGCTGCTGTTGCTGCTGCTGAGCGCGCTACCGTTGCAGCAGCTGCTGCTGCTGCCGTCCCCACCACTGCTGCCGCTGTTTCCGCCGCTGCTGCTGCTGCTGCTGCTGCTTGTGCTTCTGCTGCTGTTATTGCTGTTGTTGCTGCTGCTGCTGCCGTTAGTGCTGCTGCTGCTGTCACCGATGACGCCGTTGCTCCTTCCCGCTGCAGCAGCAGCAATTGCTGCAGCAGCAGCAGCTGCTGCTGCTGCTCAAGCGGAGGAAGCAAGCTTTAAAGATAGGCCTTGGGGCTCCCAGTGCGTCTGGGCGGGCCTGACTGCGTGCTGTTGCTGCTGCTGCTGTTGCATATCTGCTGCTGCTGCTGCTGCTGCATATCTGCTGCTGCTGCTGCTGCTGCTGCTGTGCATACCGCTCGACTCCGCCGCACAGGAAGCTGGAGCGCAGCAGCTCCCTGGCTGCAGCTTCGCCGGGAATTCGCCGCGAAGTGCTTTATTGTTTTTGTTTTAAAAGTCCTTAATATGTTTTTTGCTTTTGAAGTCATTAATGCATTTTTCGTGGGGAATTAGGGGGGGTTTTTGCTGCTGCTGCTGCTGCCGCCGCGGCTGCTGCATGCTGGCGGGCGGCGCTGCTGGTCCGCGCGTGCTGCAGCAGCAGCTGCCTGGCCGAAAGCAGCAGCTAAATCCGAATTAAATGCATTAAATGCATTAATTTAATTAAATGGATTCAATTGGCTTCAATTCGCGCCTGAGAACTCGCGAAAAAGCGCAAAAAGCCTTCCAGCGGCGGCGGCGGCGGCCGGCGGCAGCGCAGCAGCCGCGGCAGCTGTACATACACCCCCTGTCTTGCTCCTTTTTTCTCCTTTAAACGCTCAAATGTTTTTATTTTATTCTTTTTGTCGAATTTTAATTCAATTCGGAGAAAAGCGCGGCTTTTTAGCGGCCAGAGGCAGCCCTTTGCGCCCCCCGCCGCCCGGACTGGCTGCCTTCGGCTTGCGTTTCGGCCCCGTCCGCGCAATTCTCCCTTTTTATTCCTCTTTTTCTTTCATTTTTCTTTTATTTTTCTTTTATTTTTCTTTTATTTTTATTTTATTTTTATTTGTTTTTCTTTTTTGCGTTTTTAAATTCAATTTGCGACTTTTTTGACCCATTTTGCCGCAGATTTGCCCCACTTCCACTGCTGCAGAGCTGCTGCGTCTCATTTTCTGGACTTCAAATATTTATTTATTTCATTCCTATTTTCCATTTTCTTTAAATGTTTATTTATTTGTTATTTAATTTATTTATTTATTTAATTTATTTAATTCATTAATTTATTTAATTTATTTAATTTATTTTATTTAATTTATTTAATTTATTTAATTTTTATTTCCATTTGTCTTTAAACAATTACTTTATTTTATTTACTTCTTTATTTCCATTTTAAGTGGAAACTTTAAATGGAAATAAACTGCCACTGCTGCTGCTGTTGCTGCTGCTGCTGCTGCTTGTGCTCATGCTGCTGCTGCTGCTGCTGCTGCAGCAGCAGCATCAACAACAGGTTATATCAATAAACTGGAAATAGACAAACAAAAGAAAAAGAAAAGAATTAAATTAAATTAATTAAATGAAGGAAATAATAAATAGTGAAGAAACAAACGAAGGACAGAAAACGGTAATCAAAAATTCACATAATGCTGCCGAGCATGCTGCTGCTGCTGCTGCTGCTGCTACTGTTGTTGCTGCTGCTGTTGCTTTTGCTGTTGTCGCTGCTGTTGTTGCTGCTGCTGCTGCTGTTGGTGTTGGTGTTGCTGCTGCTGCTGCTGCTGCTGCTGTTGGTGTTGGTGTTATTGCTGCTGTTGCTGCTGCTGCTGATGCTCAAGGGGTGCCGCAAGCCTAAATTCGTCATAAAGGCTTTTTTCATAATAAAAGAAAAACAAATATCTCTTAACAACGTAAAGGAGTAGCAGCAGCAGCAGCAGCAGCAGCAGCAGCAGCAGCAGCAGCACTTTGCGCTGCAGCAGCAACAGTAGCAGCAGCAATTGTGCTCGCAGCAGCAGCCGCAGCTAGCAGAAGCAAGCAAACTAGCAGCAGCAACTGCAGAAAACTGCAGCAGCAACGCTAGCAGCTGCCAGAGCAGCAGCAGCAGCAGCAGCAAGCAGCA